AGGGATCCCACTTGGCTGCCCCACGTGGCTGGGGCAGGGGTTGCGCTGGGCCGCCCTGTGGGACTGGGGCTAGCATTGCACCAGGCTGCTCCTGCAGCGGGCTGCTTATACTATAAACCAGCTCCCAGCATGCACTGGCTGCTGGCCCTGCTCCCAGGGAACTGGCTGTGATGTGGGCTCTGCAATATAAGCCTTATACTGCAGACCCCTCACCGTGGGGCAGCAGCTGGCTTCCCAGGAGCGCAGGGTAGGCAGCCAAAGCCAGTGTGCTGATGCTTATTGGTCAACCGTTTAAACCGTTAAATTCTGACATCCCTAAGCAAAGCTGAATGAATTAAATCCATTGCTTCCACTGTTTGTTGTTTTCCCACTTTTTTGAATATGCTGCAGTGTTTGGATTGCAAAAGGATATTATTAGGCTGTATTTATAAATATTTCTAATGACATTTTTAAAAATATAAAATTTTGGCAATGTTTGTTACATACATGTTTTATCTGTGAATGAAGGAGACACTGTTATCTTTGAATGAAAATGCGGTAAGCATTTAAAAATGGGAATTCCTTATCCCACCAAGGAAATGATATAGATGAGTGGTTCTCAACTAGGGAAGTAAACAGGAAACCATCACCCCATCAGGTGAGGCTTACTGGGTGACTGGTTAAATGGCACCTGGCCCAACCAGAGCAGCCCCCTCTCCCATATTAGAGACAGCAGTGTGGGATGCGGGAAGGCAGGAGCTGGTATGTACAAGGAACCAGCTGCCTGCTTGCGTGTAATCACTGAAACTTTCCAGTGATTCCATAGTTAAACACATGTTAACATCCCTGTTCTCAACCTATTTATGATTGAGGGACACATCTGGTGCTCTGTGTGTAATATGGTCCGCCTCTACACACTATATACCTGTATAGTCTCGAAGATGTCACATGGGCTGCAGCTGTGTGCTGATTGGACTAAAAGCAGCCCACGTTTGAGAATCACTGATAGAGATTCATACTGCCTTAGCCTGACACTGTAAATTGTTAAGTGTATTTTGCACTGTGGTGGAGTAACCACCCATAGGACGTATCCCATCCCATTCCAGTAGAGAACAAGCAGGTGTTTTCCCATCACGGTATTATGTTTCAGTAGTTTAATACGCCCTGAGCTAAAGCTTTTCTGTGTGAACTTAAGCAGGAGTACATCTTGCTACACAGAGGTAGAATACTGAGCAAATTACTTGCCTCTTGAGGTTGGCCACAATTAGGCACATAAGTCAGAGATAGGGAAGTAGAATGAAACAGATTGGTATGCAAGGAACAAGAGACTAGAGCTGCATTTAAAAAAAATAAAATGTCTAGATTACAGTAATTATTTTCATCACTTTTTGTTGGTTACATATGTCTTGAAATGGGGATTGCAAACACTTGGGTTTGTGGATTAAAAGGTATCCTTGCTCTCTGATTCATCTCTCTTGAGGCTAATTCTAATATTCCAAATCACTGAGCAGTTTCAAGGAGCTGACTTAAAAAACAACCTGCTAGAGTAATGTTTCTTCCTTTTTCTTCTATGTGTCGAATTCAATTTTGTACTACTGAAAGGTTTTCTATATATAAAATGGTGACAGCTTTAAAGTTTAGTATTTTATATCCAGGCATAGATAGAAATGGGATCTTTTATTCCTTCAGAAAAGGGAGTGTTTCATCTTCCCTCAGAACACATCTAGCCCTGGAACTGTCATTAACAGACTTCTGAAGTGAATTTTTAAATAACAAAAAAGAGCATTTTTTGTGTATGGATCCCTCTGAGCCTGGTACGGTTTGTTGTACCATGATAGTTATGGCCTAAATTTAGCTCTGTCTTGTAGGATCACAAGCAAGCTGCTACGTTGGTATTTTTTCATTTATTACAACTAATATTCTCTTCCCATTTTATACAGGCATTTTTTAGTTTTGAAAAACATTTCTTAAGAACTTTCTTCTTGTTTCTGATGCTAATAACTAGTGTTTTGTCCTAATGTAATAGCTTCATTTCTTAAATTTTGCAGATTTCATTTGTTTAGTTGAGCTTCTTTTAAAATTATACAAATAGAATAACAAACTCCAGGGAGTTAATTGTTTCAGAGGTATTTCCACATTTGGTCTCCAGTTTTGTGCCTCACTACGCACTTGAGGCATGCAGATATGTCATAGCAGCTGCACATTATATCATGTGTTTTTCCTACATGAGTTTCCGGACATTTAAAAAAAAAACCTTTCTCATTCTATTATTTGAAACCCTCCCCTCCCCGCCGCACTAAAGTCAAACAACACACCCATGCATTATGCTTTAATAGGAAATCTTTCCACAATGAACACCCAAGTCCGTGGTCACCAACTAGTGGATCGGGATCTACTGGTAGATCTTGGATCCTCTGATAGGTTTGGCCAAGAGGCTATTGAGTATCAGCACTTCAGCTGCACCCCTCCACTGCTGCACAACTCCTGCCCTTTGCCTTGGAGCTGCCTCCCCCGATCCTTTCTCCACAGAGCAGAGAGGGGCCACAACAGGACTTGGGGGGGGGAGAGGAGGGTGCTGATGTCAAGGTGCCCCCCTCCCACCCTGTAGCCTATCTCCACAGAGCACCGGGGGGGCACAACAGGACTTGGGATAGAGTCACTGGACCTTTAAATACCCACACTCCCCCCACCAGCTACAGCAGGGGAAGAATGTGTGTCCAGTATTTTCTGGTTTTTTTTACTGGACAGGTGCCATAAATACCAGAGTATCCAGGAGAAAACCAGACACCTAGAAACCCTAGTTCTTTCATTGGCAAAGAGATTCAATATGAGAGCAATATTTACTTTAAATTATATTTGACCCAAGAAATACAAATACAGTTTGACATTTTGTAGTACCTGTTTTCCAGCATTAATTTAAAGTTGATATTAGAGCCATTAAAATCATTATTTGACACATTTTAAAAGCATTGCCTATGCCAACTTAATATGTTGTATGTTTTATCAAGTTAACAGTAATGAAAAACAAATGCATGGCATAAAAGCTACTGAAATTTCCCAAATATTTATGCCTGCCTTGCTGATCTGCAAGAACTTTGTTTTCTAAACCCCATCACTGAAAATAAAGGATTCTACCACGTCAGCCAGCAAATCATCGTCTCAAATTTGCTCCTGCAACTTTGTTCACTAGGTTTTAAATTGTTAATTTGGGAAAGGTGATAGCCCCATACTAATAGGTGAAACTGAAAATTATGGTTTGAACTACACTGTATAATGGGCATAAGGAGGAAGCAGGATCTTGTAGTTAAAGCACAAACTTAAGATATGGGAGACCTAAATTTTATTCCTAGCTGTATCACATACAGACCTTGTGTCACTTGATCTCTCAATGTTCGCTTCCAAAATCTGGAAAGTGGGTTAATCAACTTGTTCTGTGACAAAAGCTCTACTTCACAGGGCTCTTGCTAGACCAAATCCATTATTGATGTTAGTAACCCAATTTTTAGATCTATAAAGGAAGGTGCTGTAGAAATGTATTGATAGCATGGCTTGAATTAGGTGTGTGTGGAAAAAGTGTAATGATACTTTCCCAAGCTTCACCCACAGACTAAACTCCTTCCATTGGAGACACCAAAATGTGCAGCTGTTGGGGGACTGTAATTTTTTTATGTTTTCCATAATGCCTAGCACAGTGAGGCTCAACCTTGTTGTAGCTTTTAGATGTTATTGCTGTATAAATGTGAAATAACCATAATATATGCTGCTGTAAGTTCTGCTGGGTTACTCAGGCTTGGTTCCCCCTTCTATACAGTTCAGATTTATTCATAGATAGTGAGAATTTAAAGTCTAAGCACAGTAGGCACATGTGTAGGGGCTTGTCATGTGATTACATCTGAATCTAATTTTTCATTTTAAAAGTATGTTTTTAGCACTCATGATTGAAGAAGGGCTTGCAAATTAAATCCAGGCATAACAGGGGCAGCGATACCTGCTTGACGCTCCAGACATCCTCTGGTAGAGGAAGGAGCAGCAGCCACTGGAAAGAGAGAGGAAGCTGCCTGGTCTCTCATGCACTGTCAAAGGAGACCAGGTTCCCATTACTCTGAGGGAATGTGGGTTTTTGGGGTGTTGGATGTCTTGCTGGGCTTTTCAGGCTTATCCCAGTCCCTCTTGATAAGACTTAGCATTCCCCCTGGTTTTTATTCTTCTTGCTGGGGAAAAAAGTGATACTCGTGTAAGCATCTCAAACTTGTGTCATCAACATAAAATGTCACTCACAGTAGATTATGCATATTTTCGTCCTATGATCATCCCTTCCTTTTTTTAATACGTTTTGGTTACCCATGAAATAGTTAATATTGTTGGCATTTAAATTATTGTGATTGGACATCTAAGCAACAGATAAGCAGGACAATTGGTTCTTTCCAGAAATATTTCAGGCTGTTTGCAAGTTCATTATAACACTGGTTATGCTTTCTTCACAATGTGAAGGTTTTCTTCACAATCATAAGGCTAGATATTGATGTTCTTATTTTTTGATGAAATTGGGAGTGCGAAGGACAAGAGGTCCAATTAAAAGAGGTACTGGATTGCCAGCCCAGTGCAACACAGTCCTATTTAAATTCTTATTATTTATTTAAAGCATGTTAAGAGTTAATATTCATTTTGAAGTGAACTGTTTTTATATTCATATAATCCTTTTTCATTTGTTTCATTTTTTTAATACAACAACAGTATTTTTCAAATAGTCACAGCAGTGGCAAAAACAAGTCTGTTTTGCTTAATTGGGTTTAGGAGTTTTTCTTTACACAGATAATGAAAAATATTTAAAATATGTATGATACTAAACCATTGCCTATCAATGGTGATTAAAGGTGATGTTTTGGCTGTCCTAACTGTTTCTTAAGCCATTTTAAAGGTAAACTGGGAGAAGAACATTGTGTTCATTTTCTGCATATTTGTCAGTATATTTGGTACAGTATCATACTGGACAGATACAAATATGTGACTCTTATTTTCAGGCGTTGGTGATGATACAAGAACCTGGGGACCACCTTTTGTTGGAACAGAAAGTGTTTATTTTCTCAGTGTAAATCGAAATAAAAAGGTAAACAGAAACTCCGCTACAGTGAATTGTGATTAATTTTTTCCCCATATAACAAAGAACTCAGACCAAACTTTATAACCCTTTTAAGTTCTTTAGGTAATATTTGTAACAGTGCTAGAGACTGGATTATAGTGAACCAGAAGCAAGTTTTTTGTCTAATCTGGTAACTGTGACAATTCAGGATAATCCAGTAACTAAAAAAGCAAGAATTCTAATTGTCTAGTTTTTCTTAACCATGCTTTACAAAGAGGATACAAACCCTAAATACAATTGTTCACAATTATGGAATCCTTATTGTAAGTAAAGGTGGTCAGATTAAAATTGCATTAAATTGCAATATGAAACTAAACAGTTCTTTGAAAGAACCAGAATGAATATTTTGAACAATTAAGGATGTATAATTTGTTACTTTTGGAAAAAGGTAACAGGGTGACACAGGGACTTCCATGTAACTAAAAATATTGTATTTTTTTGTTACCAGAGTATAGCTGTCAATATGAAAAATCCAAAAGGAGCAAAGATAATCAGAGAGGTATGTGCTGGTATAATGTAAATCATGCATTTTGCATTGTCTTTGGTGTAATAGCAAAGAATAAATATTAATACAATGGCTGATTAACTATATAACACTGATTTTAATGATTTATGTATATCACTGATATAGTTAGTGTTAAATAGCAATACAGCTGATTTTCTTTTATACACTTAAACGTTTATCTACATGACTCAATATCCAGTGCAGCTCAGTGACAGTGAGTTTGGATAGTATGAAATCTACTTTAAAGTGAAGTCAAATGAAGTTCCAAATTGTTTCAGTGCATTGCAATGAGAAATTGCTCCTCCGTTTATAGTGCTTAGAGGAAAAGCTTTTATGGGGAAAAATAGTTCTTTTTGAATATTTCACTGTATTAGGAATGGTGATCCATCTCTTTCTCTTTATATTTATTGTTGTATTTATATAACAAATATTTGCATATGTCTACTTTGCTCACCAGGGCCAATTAAGTTTGTGGGAGCAGGCTTGGGCTTCACCATGTGAAGTGTTTTTCACGTGTTTACCCTTGGTCAGAGCCGCTGAATAGCAAAGCTACCACAGCGTTTGTTGAGTTGCCAGCTTAGGCTTCATATGTCTGTTCTGTGTCTCTTTCAGTTTTTCATTTTAGAACTTAAAATGTGGTTTAACTCTGAAAAGAAATTATATAAAAAGAGAATGTTTATATTCAATAGAGCTATTCCTTATTTATGTCTCACCTATTTAATATAGTGACAGAAAAGATTTGCTGCTTGTTACCTCTGTTAACCCTGCAGGACCAAAGAGCAACGAGCAGCTTTGTTTTTTTTTGCTGGCAATGATTTTTATAATGACAGATTCCTTGTTTTTTTTGTTTTTTGTTTGTTTTTGTTTATGCAGAAGTGAGTGCACTTAATATGGAAATTATTTGGAGTCCTTAAACCAAGAATCCTATAGTGTAATTTTCATAGAGACACTTCATAATAGAACTGAAATATTGATTGTTCTTTAACTTCATAGGTTTCCAACCATGGATGGTTTGGAAAAATGATGCAATTAAAATAATTTTGCTTAATATAAAATGGATGTATTTTAGCTTAAATAATCATGCCTAAATTAGTATATAAAAGAATGATTTCTATCATACCAGTAACTTTAATTTTGCTATTAACTGTTGGTATTTGATTTTTAGAAATACATATCTTGGAAAAATGTAAACTGATGCACTAAGTGGACTGTCCACTGGTCCACTTCAGAAAAGAGGTTAAGGCAACTGGAGCTGAGGGTCAGGATAAGTTGGAGTAAAAAAAAAATCTAGCATGAGCTTCCTGTCAAATACTTCTGGTTTAGAAACTGGTAGAGGGTTTTCCTGTTTAACATTTACTGGGAGTTCAAAAGTGAAATCTTTTTATTGCTGCTTCTCTATTTCTAATATGTATTATTTTGCCGCCTTCTACATTTTTACTGATGCCCTTCCCCCTGCAGCATGAAGTTTTTTTCCACTCTTCAAAGACCTTGGATGGCTGGTGATTTTAAAAATAGTGGCAGTGCAGATTCCCATTCCTCCTCAAGGCTTGAGTACCTGTTTTTGCTCACCAGAGCCAGAAGTTAGCCAAATCCCAAGCTGAAGCAGACGCTTCCCTCCCACCATCTGCCATCCCACATTATCAGCACCTAGCACCTCAACAGAAACATGTGGGAAGGTTGGCACATGTGAATGTGTGGCGGGACCTTTGAGTGGAAGGGGCAGGTACTAGGTTTGCCAGGTGTCCGGTATTCACCTGGACAGTCTGGTATTTTTGCCTCCTGTCCGGTAAAAAAATTCAGGGAATACCGGATACCTGAGATGTCTGATATTTTCTGAATTTTTCCTTGGCCAGGAGGCGAAAATGCTGGGCACCTGGCAATCCTACAAACACTCAGCGCCCAGCCTCTTCCCTCCCTGAGCTCACCCCCAGCCGCCCGACCCCAGCCCTCATGCTTACCTGGTTCCCCAAGGCTGCCGGCCAAAAGACCTAGGGGAAGCAATGCTTCCCCTGGGTCTTAGTGCTCTCACTCTTAAAGGGGACATGGTCCTTTTTTTTTTTCTCTTTTCTCAACAACTTTGGTATCCCCTCCCCCTCCTTTTTTTCCCCCCTTCAACAGAATTTTTCCCATTTTTGTTGGGGGGGGGGTGTTCGGTATTTTTGTTTCAACCATCTGGCAACCCTAGGCAGGGCTAAGGGCAGCCAGCTTTCAGCACCACCCAGAGCGTGTGGCATGGGACTCTGACAGCAATTTAAAGGGCTCTAGGCTGTTGTTAATTGCTGGGTCTTGGGACAACTGACTCTTTTGTTCCCCAGCCCCAGGCGACAGCTCTGGCACTAGCAAAAATTTGTTAGGACTGTTAGTGAGTTAGCAGAGAGTTTAACTAGTAGTCATAATAGCTGCAGCCATCTGCCAAGAAATGCACAGATTCTAGGAAACAGGGCAAACTCTTTAAGTAACAAGTGGCAGGGCAGGAAATCCATCAAATTGCATAAGAGAGAGGTCTTTGCACTTCTTCCTCTTCTCTCAAGAACTGCAGTTGATGACTATGACAGTGGTGTTTCTTCCTGTTCCAGGGTTTATCAAGATTAGCTTAGGGCGAGGTAGCTAAACATGTTAAATAACCCCAACTTAACTACAGTAATTTTCCTTAGGTAAACACAGGTGATGGCAGGATGAGGATGACCCCTAACTTTACCTTGACCACTTTTCTCTAATATAGGCAAACTCCAAGTGACTCTGTTGTCTAGAGAGCAGTTAGGGTGAAATATTGATCATTCCTGAGATCCCCAGTAATAATTTTACTGAAAGGCCAAAAGCTTAAAAAAAGACACGTGGGGCTCATTTCGTCCCATCTACCTCAATACTAATTGATTATTCTTCAGATAAGGTCCACAAAATATCTAGAAAATAGAAGGAATGCTAGGAAACACTAAAAAAGCTAACAATCATATGTTCAGGAAACGTGGTTTTATCCTTTTTAGTGTCCTACTTGTCTGTGGATTCATCATCCCTTGAAGGAATCTGACAACTTTAAATAGGTCTCCCCAAACCAGGTTTTTTCCTCCGGCGTATTTCAACTGCATTCTTTAGTCATCCTGCCTCTCTTGGCCTGGGAACTCTAGTTTGAGGAAGCCAGACAAGTTCCTACACGCAAACAGTTTCCTAGCAGCAGCAAAAAAGTGTAGATTTTCCTCTCAGTGCTGTAGTTGATGAAGTAAATAGGTCTGAATTGGAACAGTCTTCAAAAACCAGGTGCCTTAATAGGCAGGTCATGATTTGGGAGAACCAACCACTAGTTTAGATGCTTGAAATTGATAACAGAGTCCTGGCTTTGGAAATGAAAGAGACCAATCATTCCAGCGAAGACTGATTTCTTCCTCTCAAAAATCAAAACAAGAAGATCAAAAAATAAACCCCAACATCCCTATTCCCCAAAATCAAACTTAATAGAGAAGAAATAAAAAAGCAAATTCAGTATTTGAATATTCCTCCACCTCAGATTTAAAAAGCAAGCAAATAGGCCTTGCTGACTAGTTTCCCATAGCATCCATCTTTTATGGCAGATGCAACTTTTCTCTCCCGGTCAATGATAACCAAAGCTCTGGTGTTATATCAGTAGAGATGGGCTAAGGAGGTATATTTTGGTTCTAAACTATATTTAGGAAAAATTTATAGTCTGAGGCTAAAAGGTTGGTTGTTTTGGATTATATGGTGCTAAAATCTTCCAGATTTATCCTAGCTGGATCTAAACTGGAACCAGAAGATGGGTTCTGAAGGTGGCCAAATGGGTGTGCATGTATAGATACTTGTTTTCTTTAGTGGCAGATTTATAACCGGCAGTTACCTTAGTGGTCAATACATCTGGCATGCTCCGTGCTGAATTCTGAGACTTATCTGGGATAATATACAGAAAAAAGCCCGATCTCACATAATTAGTCACAAGGTATTCACCCTTTGGTGTCCCAGTAACTCATGCTGCTCTTTGTTAGTTTACTTAGTTTATATCTCCACTTGCCCTTTCTAATATTTTCTGTTACTACTTGCTGCTTCCTAAGTACGTGATGGATAAATGGCTGAACTGCTCAGTAGTGAGTTAGCTGTCATTTCCATTCTTCTAAAAGTAATAAGTCTATTTATCTGATATCTTATCACCCTTTTGTGTTGATATGTCTGCATATATTTTTGCAGTCATATTTATCAATTCATCAAAATTCATGAGAGGTTAAGTCTATAGAATATA